CATTGATACTACCGAACATAAACAACCATAGCAGTAAACACAAACAGCCATAACAGCACAAACCATAACAGTAAACACAAACAGCCATAACGGTAAAGAATGCTATTCGCAGGTTACGTCAAAGGTTTCAGGCGCTACGGAGAGAAGGCCTATCGACACTTTGCTTCCTCGAGGACCCACTGGGATGCCAGGAACTTGTGCTGGAACATGAATGCCTCTCTGGCAGTGCCTCTGGTATGTCGCGTGGGAGGGGGGGGGGGGATTATGATCATTATCGGTGCGAATTAGACAGAGACAGTCATATATATATATATATATATATTATATATATAATATAGAGAGAGAGAGAGAGAGAGAGAGAGAGAGACAGAGACAGAGACAGAGAGAGACAGAGACAGAGAGAGAGAGAGGAGACAGAGAAGAACAGAGACAGAGACAGAGACAGAGACAGACAGAGACAGACAGACAGAGAGAAACAGAGACAGAGAAAGAGAGAGAGAGAGAGAGAGAGAGAGAGCTAGACAAACAGAGTGAGAGAGACAGAAAGAGACATTGATAGTGGGAGAGACAGACTGAGCTAGACGTGTATATATCATGCTATGTTGTTAGGTGTGTCTTGTTTGTGGTAGACTTTGTGTCTGATTCAAGATGCTTTTTTATTTATTAATATGCTTGTTTATTCATCTATTGTGCATTTGTTTGTTTATCTACCTATTCACTCACCTAATCATTATTTAAATCATCTATATCTTTTCTCAAGGCTACATATTATTCCTCTTCTTACATTGGTAGATAAACCAGGTATCCGCAGACTTGAATTAATTAATAAACATATGTATAATAAATGAGTAAACAAACCATTAAATAAGTAGAATAATGGCAGATGAACGACCATTCCCAACCATTCCAGAACACACGTGAGAATCCATTCCAGAAACAGACCAATTAAATAAGAACATGAATAAACATAATCAATAAATTTAGATAAAGAAAAATAAATATGATAAACGACTAAACAAGCCAATAAATGAGAACAGAATAACAATAAATGAACAACCATTCCCGACCATTCCAGAACGCAGGAGAGAATTCATTCCTAGCTTCACTCGTAAACACTGGCTCGTTCTGGATTCTGGCTGATGACGCAACAACGGAAGGCGTTTGGGAGAATACAGATACAAGTGAGTGTGTGATGCTAGAACGGATGCAGGTATGAGTGTATGTATGGGGGACGAGAGAGAGAGAGAGAGAGAGAGCAAAAGCGTGAGAGAGAGAGAAAAAAAGAGTGAGACCCACAGAACACAAACACACAAAGCAAGAAACAATCATACCCGGTTGAGTGAGAGAGAGAGAGAGAGAGAGAGAGAGAGAGAGAAAAGCGTGAGAAGAGAAAAAGAGAGACCCAAGAACACAAACCACAAAAAAGCGGTTGAGTGAGAGAGAGAGAGAGAGAGAGCAAAAGCGTGAGAGAGAGAGAAAAAAAGTGACCCACACAACACAAACAACATCAACACAATCATACACACATAACCCCAACCCACAACCACACACGAACACCCAACCTTCCTAACGACGACTACGTTAACGACCCTTCGTATTAACCCTTTCCAGACGAACGACTGTCCTACGGCAGGTGGAGAGCTGGGCAACCCGACAACGGCGGTGGAGTGGAAGACTGTGCAGAACTTTCGTACCTGGCCGAGTGGAATGACATTGCTTGTTCTCAGACTCGTTACTATGCTTGTGAAATCCCTGTGGCTCAGTGTGATCGCCGAAGGGACGATATCCGCTGTAGTTACTTGCTCTAGGGCTGTGGTTCTTAGCATTCTTAGGGTCATGGATCCCTTTAAGAATCTGATGGAAGCTTTGGAACCCCTTACCCAGAAATTATGACAGAGATTTAACTTTGCATGCAATGTGTATTATGTATTTCATTCATTGGCATTTGATATATATATGAAGTACACAAATTATTATTACACTTTAAATTAAACAATAAGAAACACTCATTTTTATGCAAAAGATAATGGCCACGCATTATGAATATCAAATACAATCCTTTTGTGGATAACAAAACCACTACTATTATTACTTCTACTACTACTACTACTACTATTACATGGGTCAACGACCTAATAGTAAGTCAAGAGACGCCAAGTGGTCGTCCTTGTTAGTAGAGGAAGAGTGCGTTTTCCTTCAAGCACTGGCATGATGCATTTGTTTTCTTTTATATACAATGTCAATGGGAATCCGCTGATTAGGACAAGAGCGAGGGTTGTTTAGCGATTATGTGTTAATCTCTATCTGATCCTCACGGACCCTCTGCAATCCCTCCATGGACCCCAAGTTAAGAATCCCTGCTCTAAAAAGAGAGAGACAGAGCGAGAGAGTAGTGAAAGAGGAAGAAAAGGGGAAAGGAGGGAGAGAGAGGGAAGGGAGAAAGAAAAAGAGTGGGATAAGGAGATAGATAGAGAGAGACATCTCTTATGCATTGATCTGA